CTAGGAACGCAATGGAATGAAGAAGAAGAAACTAAATATTGCTTCCTCTCTCTTTACCAAATACTAATTGACATTCCACTCATTGAACATCAATAAGAGAAATAAGTATGGCTAATGTATAAATTCACAAGGAAATGGTCCTCAGTGAAAAAGAAATGATCCTTCTTTCTTCTTTAAGATGATGCATCATATCACAAATTGATGGTACCAATTGTCGAACTATACAAATTAATGAGCATTTAAATACCTACCTAAAAAAATATTTTGAATATCTAATCTTCATCAACTAACCACAAACCTAAAAGCAATGCTTTTGGAATAAAATTTTTTAGCACAAATAAGTAAGTTATTGGCAGAACAGAGGTTTATTTTGTAGGCATTGGCAAATTGATTTGGAAGAAAGAGTAAGAGAGAGAGAGAGAGATTTTCAGATGTTATATAAAAACGGTAGAATGATTATATTAGAATTAAGAGTGAGTTGAAAGAACTCAAAATGATGCAATTAAAAATAACATGTTCCTATATGTCAAACCAAGTATTTTTTATCTGTTATATTAGATCTAAAGAAACATACCTACATAAGTAGTTCTAAATCAAGAGATGATTAATTATACATATATATGTATTCATATGAGAAATAATGTGCATTGAATTTTATATTTTTGTACATTTTATTATTTGAATATTATTTTAAACATTTATGCTTTTCTAGTCTTAGCGTTGTAAATTAAAACAACTTAAGTCTTTGTTAATATTTAAATACATTAAAACAAAGTTTGTTGACCTACATTTATATCTCAAGACTTGAATTATTTTGTTTCACACAAATAAATACTATTACCTTATAGTATGACATATTCTTTACCGTGGAACGGAAACTCATATCTTATCTGAAGTTGCATTGTTTAACATTGATAAAAAAATACCTTAACACAAACTCACATGGTTGCAAATAGTAAGAGAATTTTACTTACAACATATCGATAACTGGAAGACTCCAAATGTATATAAAGTGCACAGAAACATTGACTCCATGTACATTTTTTTCCTTTAATCGAGTATTTTCTTCTTTACTAGGGTTTGAATCTGTAAATCGAACGCCAAGTCAACGTTATTCTACATGGAAAACACGACTTTTTTTCAATCGCGCATCCAAGTATTCATAAACAAATGCTTAAGAAAAATACTGTAAATATCGTGAACGGAGAGCATATCCAATAGCGATCTATAGGAACGCACAAAACAAATATAAGCTGCCAATGATATCAAAAGAAGAAAATAGAAGTGATTTCGCCACTTGCTTAGAAAAGCAGCATTCTGTATAATAAAACAAGATCTACGTCCCCCCTGGAGCCTCGGCTTAGACATGACGAAGAACAGTGGACCAGGAGCTTAAAGACACACAGCACTCCTGGGATCAAATAACGAGAGAAGCAGGCAACAAAATAAGATTTAGAAGAATTGTTGAGACCCTATGCTCTACTAGAATTAAAGGACAGCAGTAGTAGTATTCATACAGATAATTCGAAAAAACCACATAAACACAGAATTTCAAGTATCTGGATACTTCAAGCTATTCGGATTCTTACAACAATAAACAATATGATTCATAACGGATTATGTGAATATTTGTATAGTTTGGACTAGTTTAAACATCTGTATTACGTTAGTAATTATATATTATATTTTTTTAAATTATTTAAAAAGTATTATTGGAAAAATGTATTATAGTTTACTTTATTATATATTATTTATTTTATTCTCATAGGTTTTTATATTTCCACAAATTAAAAATATTAATTTTGCTGCATATATAATTAATTTATAATTAATACAATAAATTTATACTAAGCTAAATGATATAATAATTAATATAACATTGATTATTGTTTTGCTCTAAAGCGATAACCATTAGTTATCATCCATGCATTTTGCCAATTTTCACGTTTGTAATTATCAGCGTAGTTTTGTACTGAGACAAGATATTCCTAAAAAATATATATATTAGCTTATTTAATTTTATAAGTTAGTAACATTTAATATATTATAGAAGAAAATACCTAGTCATTATTATAAATTATATAAATTGTTTAAATAATTTTTACTTACTGGTCCAAATAATGTTTGTACAACACAATTTTCTACAGCCAAGTTTTTATTTGTGGTTGTATGAGTGATTACCAAAGGACTATTACTCTGCAAAACAATATTGCTTATAGGAATATAATACACCCACTGATATATGATTCAACTTACTGGAATAGGCAATCCGTCTGTTTCAAATCTCTCTATAGGTATAATATGACGACAATGCCAATCGGCGAAAACAGTGGGTATTAGCTTACCTACACCAAAATCCTTCAAATGTATTTTTATTTATATTATATAAATATTTAAAAATATAATTATTTTATTTATATCAACTTTGTTCTATTTTACATACCCTTGCTCGCCCTATTCCAATTGGCATATTAAGTTCACCCCTTTTGTAAGATTTGTAATTAGTTTGCACTTGTAACGATAGATCCTGAGCTTTTGGGGTCGCATATAGGTATAATTTCTCTTGGCTACCAATACATTCTAATCGAAACTTCTGACCGTAATGCAAAAGATCACTATTGGTAGTGAAATTGTCAGCTGGAACAATACGAAATGAGTTACGCACATATGGCTTAGGGGACGGTGCTATTGTTACTTCACAGAATTCGTTTATTGTTGGACTAGAACGTACCACACGTTCGTTTATAATAATAGAAAGCGCCGGTGGTACTGCATTTTTATCATTGAAACCAGGTATATAGTAAGGTTGTAATTGTATAGTTGCTCCATAACTTATTGTGTCCTTTGGTGCTTCTAATTCAACATGTCCCAGAAAATTGTCAAAAAGCTGACGAGTTTTTTCAACCATAAGCTGACCAGTGTCACGAGCACTTTTGAAATTTTGATATTTCTCCTATATTTTAACCAACAAATAATCTTATTGTTAATGTGTAAATTGAAAATGTTATACTCACACGTTCGCGACATATATCTTCAAACCAATTACCAATGCGAACTTCAGAACAATAGTGCGCCACATTGGAATACATATTGGTTGATAATACTATTAAAGAAAAAAATTATATGTAACAAAAAGTTATAGTTTAAGTAAAGTTAATAAAGTCCCACTAAATTACAAGACTTTTAATTGTTTACAATATTTGAAAAAATCATATCGATTTATCTTATACACAACTGAAGATTGGATCAACATAAAGGAATATACTTGAACTCAAGTACTAATTTACTAAATACCCATTCATAAAGATTGTAGTCTAAAACAGTGGAATGTTATACTCATATTTTGAAATAAATTTTTATATTATATTCAAAACAATATAATATTATATGAAAAATGTTATTTACATAAATAAAGTACTAATAAAACAAATAGAAATATTTATATGCTCTTGATACTTTTATAAACATTATGATTGAACCAAACATAGGAAGTATTAGGTTCACATACATATCTCTGGGGTCTCAGACATATATTATTTATTATATTATCATTTATCTCACATCTTCAACGACCTCTACTAAAACATTAAAAATCAACCGTTTATACAATTTCCTCAATGGAGAGATACGTTTATGACTTGATTTTTTGTCTGGAGAGAGCCGAACAATGACATAACTATTCAATACTTTCCTCCATGCTCTCATCCAAACTGTTTCAACACAAATTTTTAGCACTCAATCTACTCTCGTGCAAATTAATGATACAATGTTCTTAAAGACATGTAGACAGATTGACTCCTCTTTGCTCAATATAGGAAAGCGTTTGGTTTTTCGTAGCAGGCTTGTCTAATATACCACATTCTAGTGTTTTAATTATTTTTGTCTTATAAGACGTTTAAAAATACGGTTTCCATGAATCTAAGAACATTAAGTAAATTGAGAACATCTATCTGGGTCCAGCTTTGGATGATAGATGCGAAGAGTTTGAAAAAATTTGACTCCAGGTCATGATTATTCAATATTTATCAGTTTTACATACCTTTAAATTTGGTATAACTCCTCAATTTTTTATGAAATAAATAGGGTTCGATTTTAGCCGTCCTTAAAATGTTCACAATTAATTTACTGTTCAAATAAAATATGCATATATATAATTTATACAAGAAAATTTTATTTAATGACAAGAAATTCTTGAAAATCAAAACAATAAAATTAATAAAAATAAATATTTTATGAATATTGTCGTTCATTATATTTTTCTAAATATTTTTTAAATAGATGGAAGTTTCAAACGTAAGTATATATATATTGAATCCTTAAGCATAAGGCCGCAACAAAGATCTTCCACTCGGTACGATTGTTAGCTAGTGGCTTCAACTCTCCCCAACTTTTCCGCATGTGTGACATTTCCATACCAATTTGCCTTCTCCAAGTGTGTGCAGGTCTGCCCTTTCTTCTGACCCGTCGGGTTCCAGTCAATCGCCATTCTTGTGTTATAACCAGTCGGTCTATGCAAAGTGTGATCTAGTCCAATTTTCGTTTTTTTGACTTCGGTTCAAACCTAAGTATATTGTAATGTTTTCTGAATAATGTTAAATATATAAAACAGTTGGATTTTATGTAAGTTTAAAATATATGTCACATTATAATTTACTCATATATATAATATTATGAGTATATTAGATATATGTGTAAATTATTATATAAATATATAAACTTATATATGTATATAATGCATAATGCATTATGTATATAAAATTTAGTTTGTTATTACGAACAGAAAAAAAACTTTTCCCTCTCTGTTAATAATTAATTTAGTATATTAATTCGATAACAATAAGAGCAAAATGTCACGATTTTATTAAACGAGAAGTTTATACAATAATTATTTATTATTAATAAGTTGTTGTAAACACATATAGATATATATCTGTGCGAAAATCTTATTATCTTAGCAAAAGTTTTAATTTATTTTGACTTCAAACCTAATCATAGTAATTATAATAAATTAGTGTAACAAAGAAATAGAACCCTCACGAATTTATATTTAACTGTTTGACCCGCCCATTATTATACCGACCCTTTAGCATACAAAGAAAGTAAGTACGAGTACTTTCTAACAAAAAATAAAAACATTAAGTAGAAAATCGAGGAAAACATAGCTCACGATTTGCTTTAGGGTCGATTACAGTAAAAGCTCGTTTGTCCATTAATGCTAAACAAAAAAAAAAAGATTAAATATAAAAAAAATTATTATTTACTGACATGCAAACGTGAGTTACGTGCAGCGCATATTTTCTACTACACTCCACCGCAAACAATTCTATTGCAGTGGAATGCAACACTGATTATGGTGTTCTGAAACTACCTTAAAATACAAGTACTGAAGCAATCAACCGAGCAATAGAATGACATTTTCGTGCAAATTAAAATTTATGCTACAAATGATTGAGTGACTGAGTCACTATTAGAATCATTAAATAGATAGATACTTTGAAATTTGTACTCATGTACACCGATACTCCACTTTCAGCTTATTTATCTTTATCTATGTAATATTAAAATACCTTGAAGCATATCAATTGCTGTTAGCGACCCAAGTGCAACAGTTATAAGTTACGCTAAGCTCAGCTTTAACGAATCGATATTATTATATGTATGTATTTCTTATATCACTTAAAATAAATTAATGTTAATGTTACCAGTAAGGGATTTAAAAGTGTATTAAGTTAAAGATACAAGTAAAGAATAAATACGATATACTTATACTAAACTCTAAATATCATTTTAATAGTACTCACGATCTCGAGTAATAAGGTCTATAACCTAGTAAAATAGTAAGAGTGCTTTATTGTTCGCATTTTTTACTATTATTATTTAATATTAAAGCTTTGACGTGTAATCGCTCAGCAGCCGGCACTGCGACCAGAAGAGTCTTATTGTACCAATTTCACTATTGATCATAAAAAGCCCTTTAAAGTTTTATAAACAAATTCCAGAACTAAATCTAGAGAAGAGCTCTTAATCTGTTCTGGTGACAGAAATTCCATATGAAACAAGTTTCTTCTGTGCGTTATTAAAGCTGGACAGTCACAAAGAATATGCATAGTAGTTTGCTTTGCTTTGTCTACGTCCTGGGAAGTCTTCCCAATACTCTAGCCGCATATGATTTTACCTGTCCTTGATAATTTGTTTTATACTGGCACAGTTTAACCCACAAAAGAGTTGAGGACCTGTGAAAGCAGTTTTTGCTGCAGTTCTGGCTAGCTCATCAGCTTATTCATTTTCCAAAACTCCCCTGTGACCCGGAAACCTTATTTTGAGCTGCAAGTAAGCTTATTTTTTGTATTGTATTTTTATAAGTTCCAAATTTAATGACAAACGCAAAAGTTCAGTAAATAATATAGGGCATAGCTCAAATGCATTAATGCTTCAATATTGCAATATTTGCAACTCCTGAAACTCAAGGCAGATCAAAGTTGAGTGACGGCCACTGGTCAAACGTGATTTTACACTGTATATGGTTGACTAATGCTTCGCTTATTTATGCCAGCAACAATAGCTACAATCTATAAATGCTTTTAATACACAACAATGAATACCTACCTACATGGAACTAGAGCACCCCTCGAATTGCATTCACTTAATATTACTATACATACATATATATATGTATAAGAGCATTTTTTACCAACTACTAAAATCTCTGTAGCACACAAAATATGAATGTATATGTTTATATATATATATTTGATATGTACTTGTTTGGTGTTGGATTTATTTATACCTAAAATGGTCGTTCAGCTGCAACAATTAAAACCAGCATAAACATAAAATTTGCCCAAGTTCCGCTTTTCGGCTCATTTTTGATACCGAAACGATAACAGCGGGTAACCGCACCCATATTTGCAAATTTGACAAACAAGTCGAAACCAAACATTCCCCGTACTCTTATTTGAACTTATTTCAGATATTATATTTTTACTCTATTGTTAAACTATTTTTTATTTTTTGTTTTTATTATCGTCTATACTGCGAATATGGCTGAGTTTTGCTTTGTTTTTAGAGGAAAACAATTCGTTTTTGTGATGAAGGATTGATAAGTGCAAGTAATCGGAAGGAAGGAAGAAAGGTAAAAGGAAGTTGTTGTTCGCGTTGTGCGCAGCTGCAACTGCAATTTGGGTATATTTTCAGTTCAAATATGTGTGCAACCGGGTTTTCGGCGATCTCTTCAAACAAAAGCAATTAAAATCAAAATGAAACAAATAAACTATAAATATATATATTTTATGTATATATACTATCAGTACTTTTGGTTAAAAAATAAGGTACTACATTGGCTCTATAATCAAAAAAATCAATCAAAATTTCTTATGTATGCAAATATATGTTATACATGTGTATATAAAGTTTCCGAGTGGATAACATTAATTACATACATATCTATATCATATAATGATCTTACAAAAAAATGCATCGAATATTACTCTTTTACAATTGGGCTTATCCAATTAGAGCTAACCAAAGGAAATACACATAAATACATGCATATATAATATGTGATGGTATTACAGAAATTTCAAACTTTGTTTCTTAATTAGTTGGTCATTACAGACGTGGATCATCCTTAGCTACTGTTAGCAGTTGGTAGTAAAGAGTGTCTTCATATCGTCAGATACCTGATCCTTCCACCGAGTATACGGATGTATTCTACTGTGTTTTCCACCTGCGGATACTGAATCAAAAACCTTTCTAAGCGAAAAACTTTCTTTTATTAACACAATATGACCAAGCCAGAAAGCCGCTAGTCTTTTATGCATATACGGGACTATAGATCTTTCGAAGATTTTAAATTAGCTAACTTAAAAATGAATAATTTATAGAAAGTTCTATAGAAACCAGTAGTCATTGATTAAATAAGATAAGTTGGCTGAAAGCTATTATACAAAAGTGACGAGTTATTTGTTGATATAGCAGAAGATGAGGTATTGGATCATATATAGATAACGGATGAAAAATTGTGACCGTTATGAATACCAATGGGATTAATAACACTAATAACTGTATATAAGATATCTTTTAACAACATTATTGTGTGCATCTCCTGTTGATGAAACCGTCACCCTTTTACAAGACTTTCAAAGAACACATATATACATCATTTATATTGTAATTTATATATATATATAAATTTAACGCTTTTCAATTAATTTAATTAAAAATTTATTGAATATGCGTATAAATATTTTAATTATTATGAAAAGGAAACATTTTTATAAATATTAATAATCTTACTCTCACCCCTTTAAAATCATATCTTGACACTTTATCTCAATTTTTAATAACAACAATCTCATCATCATCTTCGATATCAAATATATGTATACTGACAGCGTGTTGAACAATGAACGTCATTGAGATGTCAATTATAATACATATCAAATTGTATATAAGACAAAATTTCAAATATATCAAGATACTGGAATAGTACTCTATAGATACATTTATACAAAAGACTTTGTATGTATTTAGAGATACATTTATGCACATAAAAATTTATTTATAATGAAATTCTAAATTCAATAAAATTCAAATTCAATAAAATTTACTATATGCGGTCGCTGATTGATGTGAACGACATGCTATATTGTTTGTGCTCAACATTGAATTTCTGGAAGAACTGCCATATGAACAATGGACGTATTTTGGTGAAAGAGTACGCAATTCAAATAGTGGAGTATTATTTCTTTTTTTTAATTAAAATCTTTACATAAAAAATTATTGAATGCTGGTACTGCGTTCGAAGAAAATCAAAGTAACTTACCCTAAACAAATCTCAACATATGAGTACTTAACACAAGAAGTGAACAGAACAGCGATGTTATGTTTTTTTGTTCATTGACCCATATGTATAGTTGTAAAAGGGATGTATCTTGCTTAATGTATCGTGTATCTATTGTATAAAATATGAGAGCTTGCTTATATGAATAGAAGATCTTTTTACTTGTAGTGGATAAATTTATTGAAGGCTAATTTAATTTTAGTAAAGTAATTATTCATTCATTCTTACTTGTCGTGACATATGAGTATTTATGTACATGAGTATGACCTCATTTGTTACTATTGTGTTTTGTTTGT